TTTTCCGAAGGTTATTGGTTGCGTGTTCATATCACGTCGGTTGGTCACCACTGTGGGGGGTGGAAGGAAAAGGGAAGATCTCCCGCCGGGCAAGGTGTTCTGCCCGGGGAGCGGCCAACGCTCCGATTGGTAGTTCAGAGCTATTCTATATATGCTGCTTTTAACTTCGGAACTTTGTTAGAGCGATTTAGGCTTCGATGTGTTTCGCTTGTGGCGCGACGACAGCGCCGCCACACAACTATTGGTTATTAAATTAAGCAACAACGATCAACTGTTATCAGAGATGCCGCATAACATTGAAGATTGAAGTCCGTTTTCGGACGTACTTTGAATGTACGTCGTCAAACTTCTACTCTTTTTTAAAAATCCGGCAACTCAACTACCATTCCCCTGTGTTGCATTTGTTCATGGGCGACGGTCACCACTTACCATCAGGTGTACCGCATGCTCATGTTGCTGCCTAGGTTGATAAGCTGCTATTGAAAGGTCTTAGTAACTTAACAGAAATGTGAATTAATTTAATATAAAACTTTGCTTAAAAATCAAACTCATTGGTAGAAAGAACACATTTATTAATCTCTCATTATGTAGGCGCTACGTATAGTCGACATCTCTTATCTATACAGCTAGGACACCCACGAGTATATACATATAAATATTAACTTACATGTCCATATTTACAGGTGATAAGATAACATACAATTTGTTTTATAATACGGTGATATTAATTATTAATATATTTCACAGATAACTTCAATAGAAATACGCGTTAAAAGTAGGGAAACAAAATAAAGAAAAAATTTCATAAGGTAATTTTAATAAACATCGTACTAATTTAAGCCGCAAAAATATAAGAAATATTAGTGAGCAAAAAACTCAACGAATTGTAAAATTCCGAAACTGTATCCCTAATTGGTCGTCGCTGCTGGCGATAAGAAGGCTGGTTCTCGCTTAAAAGCAGAGTTGAGAGAGAAAACGCAGCCAGCGTTCTTGGCACTGTATCGCGGAATTAGGACTGTATGATAATTTAAGTTCTTAGTTTTATACTATAGTTTTTAATCTATACAAATAAATAAAATTGAAGTGTCAGTTTGTAATGTTGAAATAACAGCTTTTTACTAAACGAAACGAAACGGCTGGTCCGATTTTGACCGGTATTTCACTGGCAGATAAGTGATGTTATAAGAAGTAACTTAGGCTACTTTTATTTTTTAGAAAAAGGTTTAGGTTTCCGCGCAAAAAATTAAAACCATGAAATCCAATCGTAATAAATGACGTGCGGGCGAAGTCGCGGGGAACAGCTAGTATTGTATAAATTTGAGTGTTGTATAAATAAATGAATACATTGTAAAGTAAACGCAAATTGAAAATTTGTTAATTGTTCGATATTTTTGCTACTAATTTTTATTTATTAGTTCATTATATTTGAAATAATATAAGTAAATAGGTACAAAATATTTTCAACTATGGGAACAACGGGTTGCATCAATTAATCTACTAAGTTCTACTTGTGGTTCTTTTTCTGCCCTGGGATCGTACCAGTTCGTATAAAAGGTAATGGAGTGATTTGTTTAGTGTCCTAGTTTTGTAGAAGTATAAATACTAAAATATATAACAGTATTTTTAATAAAACAACATCGTACGGTGTAGTGGCGGTGTAAGAATATCTATTACCCCACATCACCCCGTGGGTGACGTAAAAGGCGACCAAGGGAAACTGAAACATGACATGGGCTACACCATCTTTCAGATGCCTCCCTGTAAATTGCCACAAAAGGGGTATTTTTGACATAATTCGACAAGCGCAGTTTTTTGTTTCAGTTTCGCTCTGTCGCCTCTTACGACACCCACGGGATGACTTGGAATAGTAGACATTCTTAAACCCAACTACACTAAACGGTTGATCACTTAGAATATAGATTTTTTACAGCATAACGGTGACGAACGAGCACACAGTCCACCTGATGGTAAGTGTATGCTGTTGTTGTGGCACACAGACATACTTCTACCCTCTCTAACTCTTATTATTTTTACCCGACTGCCCCAAAAGGACGGTGTATTATCTGCTATATTCTCTTATCCGTGTAGTGTAGCACAGGCTCGGCACGCACTTAACTAAAACACGTCCACTCTCGCCCGAGGCTCTCATGTAACTGACGCGGTGCGCTCGAGACAGTGAATTATATATAAGTGTATGTTTGTGTATTTGTGCACGGTAAATTATTAGTAAATGAAACATATAACAATATTTACTGTATACTATATATATATTTATATGCAAGCACTACAGACGGTAATGTTTTTCGAGAGTATGTACATGTGTATGCCCATTTCTTAGGCACGCTCTGTAACCTAAACAACTTGATGGATTTTACCATATGAGGTATAAGATTCGTCTTAATTGTGGGCGTGACATGGGCTCAGTTAACCTTTTTACTCAGTTGGGTTTTTTCAATTACTTTTTTATAACGGTAGGGCTTGTTAATTTCCAGATCCTTTGAATCAATATCAACAAAGTATGACACTTAATGCAACCCGTCGGCGGTGTAATAATGATGTTGAAGTATTTGCTATGATTTTCTTTACGAAAAATTACATAATGTCAGAAATAACAAGAAGTGGGTGACGCGACAAGTTTTCTTATAAATACAATACGTATAATTATGACCATATCGTATATTTATTTATATACAGTGGTTATTTACAATTAAATAAAACAATATTTTGTGTATAATGTAGGTATCTAAAAGTATTGTTTGTGGTGAATCATTAAATAATAAGAAGCAAGATGGCCGCAATGTTAATTACATAAAAACAAACTCAATTATAATTTATTATAGTTTATATATATCCTTCAGCCGGTATTTACAGATAATCCAGAAATTTAAAGCTTAAGCTCAATATCCACAGAATACTGGCCTTAATACTTATGATATTATTCATATGCCGGGTTTCTATACTTAAAAAACGCTGCGTTTTCTTTTACGAGCCGTTTAATGCCGTAAATGAAGTGTAACTAGCACTCGTCTAATTATCTATAAATATATAAGATAAGTTCATTGTAAATCATCTTAAGTTGCTGAATTTTACATGCAACTCGTACGTAACAAAATGGATCGATACGGAGAACGAAACGTTTCTTGAATTTAGGAATCGGGCATTAGAGATGAAATGCTAGAACGATCTCACGGCTTCCGACAGATGACGTTACAAAAGAAATGTTTATACACAGACTAAAGCGCCTTATTCACGGTCCATATTGCTCTACGTTCCGCCAAGGTCATGCAGGACGCACTACCTACGCTAAACGAAAATGAGCAGGCTTGACGTACATCAATAATTACGTACGTCAAGCCTACACAATGTCGTTTTGCATCGCGCGTCGTGCATGACCTTGGTGGGACGTACAGCAAAATTGACTGTGAACAAGGCGCTTAAGAAGAATATTTGCATACTGACGACCCACTCTTATAGAGAAAACGTCGTATAGAGAAAAAAGACGCACTTTCATGTTCAGTTTTTTCAACTATAGATTATATGGTTGAAATTTTTTGCTCTGAGTTTGCATGCCGTGGGTTATCATCTCATTTATGACGCCAACAACAGGAGAATTTTTTCAAACATGAACTGCTAAACGTCATATGTTTAGCAGTCTCAGAACATTTGTGGTTAGATGCAGAAGCAGTAAAAGAATGAATAGCAAAAGATTAAATTTTGGCAAAAAAAATATCGTTACAAATAATTCTCACACAACCATAAAAAATCTTTTCTTCTATTGATTATGATTATACACAAACATTGGACGACAAAGACTTTTATGTATACTACTCGCGGGCTCGAGTGGGTAGCTGGCACGGTAAATACGCCACGCAGTTGTATTTTAAATTATTACAACAGTTACTGTTTTTAGGCAAATACGAAATAAACTTCAAATCACGTTGGTAAAGTGCGCACATAAATAATGACAACGTTTTCTTAGCCACATTAAACATAATCAGTGTTTTTACTTGTCGAAAACAATGTTCGCGATTTACAAAGAACTAGTCTTCTGGCCCGATCGCAATCAACTAAAGGAGTTACGGAGAATTGACCGTAACTTAGTGCGCAATGTATTGATACCATAATTCCTATCGAGTAGTACATAATTATAAAAGTCTTTGGGGAAATTATTTATAAAATAAATTATTGAAATGTGAAAACTGAAACACAAAACAACACACATTAAGACGACTTGAAACTTTCACAAAAATATTCTAAGTCTTATTACTATTAGAATAGACATTTGTTTACATTATTTACAATCTTACGGACGATGTACTAAATATAAATTATTTTATTAAATAGTATTTTTTTCAATGCGGGTATTATTTTATATTATTAACTTAAACTATTTAATGCACAGTTATAATTTTAGACTAATTTATACATTTTCAGTTCTCTTAACTATTTTGGTTCTGTATTTTTTAAGTTGAAACTCTTCAAGCTAAGAGTTATATAACAATGTTACGCTGAGACAGTGCCATGTATCATCTAAAGCTAATCACTTACCACCAGGTGGGATTGTAATCTAACACTGGCTTATAGGTAAAACAGAAAAAATTACATTAGGATGACATATATACAATAGAGCTTGATGAGTATAACCTTAACACATTCAACCAAAAAATGGTTGAATGGGTTAAACCAGTGTAGTGAGTATAGGCTAATTAAAAATTAAAATTTTAAAAAATCTATTGCTATTACATCCATCATCATCATCTTCCTTATTACAGTTCTTCACAAGGTCTATGCTGGACGTATGCCTACGCGAAGGAATGCCACAAAGTATGGTCTAGAGCCATCTGCATCCATCGACTTCCTGCATGTTCTGCCAGATTGCTTTGTGGCATTCCTTGATTCCTGTGATCAGCAGTGGACTTGTGAAGGACTGTAATGATGATGATGATTATGATGAAGATGATTAGTCTCAAAGAGTTCGGTTAAGTGATCGTCTTCGAGCATTAGACCATTTGCATTCCCTTGGTGATGGAATCGACGTGTTCCTTCGCCTTCATGCGCAGCGCTGCGATGGAGGAGGAGCGCGGGTCGGGCGCGGGGGCGGCCGCGGGCGGCGCGGGCGGCGCGGGCGGCGTCAGGTAGCTCGGGTAGCCGGACGGCGGGTGGCTGAGGAACCCTGCAACAAGGGGATGACGCGTGGTGAGCGATGAGAATCAGAAACCCTTTTACTGTATATGAGGCGTTCTATCTTAACCCACAGGGGTGACAACGCATTTTCAATTTGATTCTTTATCGATGACGGTTGTACGCGTCTGAGCTACAGCATCCATTTACTATCAGTTTGAGTATTTTTTATAGAATAAGGGTTGCAAACGAGCACACAGTACACCTGATTGTAAGTGTGTGCTCTGGCCCATAGATATCTGTGTCTATCCACGATTAAATATCAAAAAGGCCATTGTGTCACGGAGACGTCTGTTTCTCCGTGACGCAGTGCCTTGTACCTCCCTATGAGGAAATCTATAAGGGAGGCTTATATTCTGTGGACATTTATAGGCTGTAATGGATGGATGATTACATAAATATATCTCTAACATGGTGTGGTTTCACTCGCGCCTCGCTATTACGAAATACCAGCGTTATAGTGCTGCATAATTCTGCAATTTTGAGTGACGGCTCCGTGGTGCAGTGGTTTAACATTGAGTCGCAGCGCTAAGGGCTGCGAGTCCGAAGCCCTCACGGTGCAAGTATTTGTATGGCCTACAAATAACTGTTCTGAGTTTGGAGGATTTCCTTTGTGAAATTAATGTGTCTCCACGATACACGAGAAAATCAATAATATGAAAGTGACGCTTAAAAGAAAGAAACTAGAGGAAAAAAATAGAGAAACGCCGACTTATTTGAAAGACAAGACAGAATGCATTGTCATGCATTAGTACTAATGCCGGGTTTCTTTAGTTTAAAACGCTTCGTTTTCTTTTAAGAGTCATTTTCCAATAATGTTTTTTTTTATAGGAGAGGGGGCAAACGAGCATGCGGCTCACCTGATGGTAAGTGTCTACCGCTGCCTATGAACAGCTGCAAAGGATCCGGAAAAATCGCTGATGGTAATCGATTCCACTAAGAAGTCGTACGAGGAAGAAAACATCTTCTAAATCGCACAGTGGTGGACCGCCAATCATCCAGATGGTGTGGATGGTATTGGGAGTTCTGCCGCGATGTGCGTTCGTGAAATTTGGCGGCTGGGATTAATCCGAACAATTCCTCAGAGCACTCCCCGTGGTAGATGCGAAAGAAAATGCAAAGGGATTCAACATCTCTTCGCAGTGCCAATGAATCGAGCCGATCGGAAAGGACTTGGTCGTCGAAGATTCGAGCCGCTCTGCGCTGGATGCGGTCAAGTGGAAGGGGCTGGCACTGGGGAGCCCCTGCCCAGAGATGGAAACAGTATTCCATGTGAGGCCGAACCTGCGCTTTGTAAATACTGTCCCGCTCTGCTGAGCACGCCAAGCTTTTTAGAGGCCAATTTGGCCTTCTCTTCCAAGTGACCACGAAACTGCACGTCACTCGATATGTCGATTCCGAGGATTCCGATACTAGCTGAAGCAAGAAGGGGAGTGCCTTGAAACTGAGGAGATACGACAAAGGGGTTCTTTTTAGCGGTAAACACGCAAACTTGTGCCTTCTGAGGATTAAACTGGACTAGATTTAGTCGCCCCCAATCCGAGACTTTGTTCAGCAAAGACTCGACTTCAGACACAAGTTTGTTCCGGTACTCGGCGACGTTTTCCCGAGAAATATTGGCACGGCTGGTGTATAGAGCATCACCAGTGCTGTCATCCGCATAGCAATGAATGTTACTAGTTAACAACATATCATTGATATGCAGAAGAAACAGCGTTGGTGATAGCACACAGCCTTGTGGAACACCAGCGTTAATAGGCTTGTAGTCGGAGCATGCACCGTCTACAACGACCTTGAAGCTCCGATCTGCAAGCAAGCTGGTGATCCAATCGCATAATTTCTCGGAAAGCCCATAGGAAAGGAGCTTCGAAAGAAGCGCTTTGTGCCAAACCCGATCGAAGGCCTTCGCAATGTCCAGACTAACGGCCAACGCCTCCCCCTCGGACTCTACTGCCTCTGCCCATCTATGGGTTAGGTAGACCAGAAGATCACTAGCTGATCGACCCCAACGAAAACCGTATTGGCGGTCACTAATCAGCTGGTGATCCTCAAGGTACCGCATGAGCTGGCAGTTAACAATTGATTCCGTTATTTTGGAGAACAAGGAGGTGATCGCGATAGGCCTATAGTTGGACGGGTTTGAGCGGTCGCCTTTTTTAGGGATCGGGTGGACAAAAGCTATCTTCCATGAGTTCGGGACTACACCTTGGAAGTAGGAGTACTGGGAAAGACGCGTTAGGACCGGTGCCAACTCCGGAGCACACCTCCTCAGTACAATTGGGGGGATTCCGTCAGGCCCACTCGACTTCTGGATGTCCAGGGAGAAGAGTGCTTTGCGAACCGAGCGCTGTGAGAACAGCACATCCAGCATGGAGCACCGCGGGATGGTCGGCGGTGTTTTCCCCCGTCATCAAGAGTCGAGTTGGACGCAAAAAGGGAGCCTAAAAGGTCGGCTTTGTCTTTTGCGTCTTGAGCCAGTGAGTCGTCCTCTCTGTGCAGAGATGGTAGTGATGCCTTACAGAAATTCCCTTGGACAGCCTTGGCGAGAGACCAGAATGCACGAGTTCCCGATGGAAGGCGAACTAGTTTCTCGCCAATTTTGCCTATGTGCTCTGACTTTGCCTTGGCAATAACTCTTTTGAAGGACCTGGAGGCGAAGTTATACTTCTTTTTAAGTATGCTGGTGTTTACATCCCGAGTCGCCGAAGCCGCAGCCCAGGCTTGATAACACTCCTGCTTACTGCGTAATGCAGTATTACAGGAGCGACCAAACCAAGGCTGAGACCTGCCTCCGATGGGTACCACAGATGATGGAATGAATAGTTCCATTCCTTGTAGCACCACATCAGTGACAGAGTCAGCAACAGCGCTGGGATCATCCGGCGAGAAGCAAACCCGCCCTCATGGGTAGGATGCAAAGTAAGACAGCATTCCGTCCCAAACGCCAAACGGCGTGGTGGGCGTTAAAATCACCAAGGATCACGATCTCTGCGGATGGGACCTGTTGTAGCAAAAAATCTGTAGCCATTTGGACGTGGTCAATGAGTCGGTCTGTTACGGCATTACCGCTATGGGATCTATAGAGGCACCCGTAGACGCGCGGATGGTCGTCGCTGTCTACGCGTAGCCATAGTATGGACAGGTCCGAACCTTGAAGACTGCCGATGCGTCGAGAACAGATGTCCTCTCTGACATACACGTAAACTCCAGCCCGAGGCACAAAGGAGTGCTCCAATTTGTACCCCGGGTAGGAGAGATACGAAATATCAGCCCGAGAGGAAATCTGCGTCTCGGTCAGAAAGAGCAAGGCCTGCTTCGCCGTCTCGAGATGGTAGTGAACGGCGTTTACGTTTAACTCCGCTACCATGTTGAAGGGAGGGGGGGGGGGGGGGGGGGGGAATTGGGCCTCCGGCCACTTGCACTCACCAGACGAAACGCAGAAGCAGAGCTTCTACTTCACGCCGGTACCAACCCGGCTCGAGCCGGCCCGTACGTGCAACAGCAAAAACTGCTGCGTGGCTCTACCACCGTTAGTTATTTCAAATATACATAAAAAAAAATTATGAACGGTTTAAAGTTTTTTCTTTCATTTTAAGTTATCCTAAGATGCTGAATGAACAGTTTCTAATATAAACTGTTTTTAAACTCAGCTATGAAATAAAACAGATCAACGTTTCTTAAATATAGGAATCAGACATAAAATGGAATGCCTCATTACTGGTAGAAAGGGTCATACCATTTACGTCAGCAGTGCACTTTCGTGGACTAATGAAGAGAAAGAAGAATAAGAAGTATAAGACTCAATAAAAATTATTAATACGTACTGCAAACGAGTGGAATAATTTGCCAACTATTGTCCTTCCGTGTGATAAGGTGAGTGTTTTCAAGGCAAGCGCACTGAATTACATAATAAAAGCTTATTCACTCGTAACAAGCTTTTGTTATGTAGTGAGGCCTAATAATCTTCCACTCACCAGATGTCGCTAGTTGTGACTGAGGTAAAGTTTTTGTAAGTTTTATTATTCAACTTTAAATTTAATATTGTTTAACAGTTAATTGAGAAATTACTTTTAAATAATAGCTCATCTTTATCTAGAGCATATTAATACACAACACAATGCGTCAGTCATTTGATTTTTTATTTTTTTGCACTTTTAGTTATATTAATAGTTTGGTTTATTCATTTCTTATCTAATTGATATAAAACATAACTAATAATGCGGAAAGAAACATTATAGTTTATATTTTCCTAAGAAATTATCGCCCCGCTATGATATCTGTAAAATATTTTACGTCATTGTAAAGAAGCGCCGCCCTGGTGGCAGAAAATGTCGTGAATACCCTCATTCGGTGCACTTTACCATTTCCGGCTGCATCACTTACGATCAGTTGGGACAGTGGTCATGCATTGGATTATAACAGTGAAAAAAATTACCAGGTAACGCCGAGAGCAGGGGAGGTGCCAGCCAGGGGTCTACAGGCAGGCCAAGGCCGAGTCGCGGCACAGGCGACCCGTACTCCGCAAGCCCCAGCCTCGCTGCCTCCATCTTCTCCTGCCGCCGCCATTTTGCGCGTCTGTTTTGGAACCACACCTGTAAAAAAATACAGATTTTTATATTAGATAAACCAACGAGTTTAGAGGCGACCTTCCAACATATCATGTGGCTACCGCAACCTATGGAAACGTACAAAGTACAGATCATCACACCCGAGGAGAACTAAGATTAAATAGCTCCCAAGCAGTAATTATACTGACTTTCTCACACAGGAACAGTAACGGCTGCACTGCTGCTTTGCATCAGAAATAGACAAGTAGATAGTGTGAGTATTTACTCAGACGGTCTTCTAGAAAGGTTCTAGAATGGGTCCTACTACATAGTTAATTAAATTAAAGAACATGCGTGAGTGTCGTGGAATACTCGGTTGGAACGAAGTACCTTTCGTAGTATATTATCATTGATAAACGTATTATGTTATTGATTAACAAATACAAATAAATTAATTATTAGTGTCTATTAAAATGAAGCGTCATTTAAAATAAAATAATATTTTTTCATTGCACGATAAGAAATAGTGCGTGGGAGAGGGATGTTATTCCATCTCGATTCCTTATAGCCACCAAGGCCGTTTACACTACGTCAGAAGGGATCGTAATGGAAAAATCTTACACTTTTTTTCGCCTAGCCCCCATCCGCCAAGTCCGTATCATCCGATAAAAATCTTCGTTCCAAAAAAAATAGTGTAAGGTCTTTGAGAAAGGTCGGTACAGTTTTTACATTACCACTGGTTCGGAAAAAAAAGCTCTGTCCTAGGAAAAACCAACAAGAAACACAGAGGGACTTTTATAAAGTAAATTTTACATGAAAAGTTGTACAAACTATTTACAAAATATATTTTAGAAACAGCTTGGAAGCGACCACCTCATTCCTAGGGGTTATTATCAACCATGTATTAATTTATATTAAAATAACCCTTTTTATACATTTTTTATTTAATAAAATATTTGAACTTGGTAATAGAGAGGATGATCCAACCCACAAACTGGCCAAAATAATGATCCAGAGGCTCTTTTCCTTTTTCTTAAGTTTATTTCCAAGTATGAAAGAGTACTGCAATATGATAATTCAGTTTTCTTTAAAATGATATACGCATTTATCTTTCAAATCTGAAAAGCTTTATGTTTATGTGAGGTGGAATATTTTTCAACTTAATTTTATTTAATAATGTAGACATTTATACACATTTTCTTGTAGAAGATATTTATAGCCTAAAACTAGGCTGCAAATAGTAAACTGAAGTGGCAATGGGCCGATGCCGGTCTAAGCTTGGACAGCTAGATGTTGGGAATGACTGCATCTGGTTTGTAAACTGAAGTTATTCGGTTATTATTCTTACGATAATTGTACCTACATCGTAAAGTCACCAGTCAAGCGAGGTATATAACGACCTGGTACAATATGCAGGAAGTCGATGGAGGCCTGTGTTCAGTAGTGGACATGTGAAAGGCCGTATTGATGATGATGATGACAATGATGAAGCAAGGTATACGTATCTAAATTCAGCCTCGCAATCAAAATCTATTTAATTTTTTATATAGATGCGTTGTTTCCAGTAAAAAAAGGTCTCCGGTTCCCTACACTCACTATAAGAAACGGCAACCCATTCATGCTACTAATTTAATATAGCTGCAGCATGGATTTACCAAATGTAAATTTAGTAGCGATCATTTCTTTCAGTCCCAATTCCCTTAAGGAATAATAAGGCGTATAAATTACATAAACATGACAATAACCATCACGAACAGGTGAATTGTCAAACAACAGTCAACTTAACATATTAACGAATTGAACACGCTCGTGCAGAGTTGGCAGTAATTGATGCGACGCCATTTATTAAAGCATCAAACTTTATGAGAGGGGGGGAACAGTAAAACTCCTAAAAGCATGGCCCACAGACGATAAATCAAGGAGAACACGTCACTAAACGGTTTGTGAGGCCAGACATAACAAAACAAAACTAACTTTGAATACTGTAAAGCATGAAACGCGAGCTCAATCACATAAATGTACCATCATTGTGCCTTCCACCTAGGGTTGCCAGACGTCTTTTAATTTAAAGGACGTCTTCTGTCACTCAAAAATTGATTGTATCCCCTAATTTGAAATACTTGATAGAAGATAATATCGCGTGTAATTGACATTCCTTCTGTTTGAGGTCAAAGATTTTAATAATCACTTTGAGGTGACGCGCAGTGTTAGAGAGAACTGCATTACATTGCGTATTAACATTGTTTTCTTTATTAATACACGTTACTATTGATGTCAAAACAGTATTTTATTGAAAAATATAGGTACGATATTCTTTATTTTCATCCTAGGTCCTTTATAATATAATCTTATCAAAGTCTCTAAAACATAAAACAGGAGCTGTCAACCCTACTTGCACCCCACTAAGCTTACTGGTAAGCGATTTTAAATCTTTGGACTTTGCAAAACAGTTCATTTTGGAGTGAGCAATGACAGTATATGATTTGAACGTGGTGTCAAATGGTAGTGTGAAATGATATATTCAGGGGGTCGGCAGAGAGGCAAAAATACGTAGTCGCGTGATCGCCTCGATTTGGATCAGAAGACAGCAGGTTAGAGACATGCGAAGCGATAGCTCGATGGCTTGCCTGTCAAAAGTATTAAATCCTTCGCTGGATGGAAATTGGAAAACTATACAAATTCTAGAAAAAATATAATTGTTTATAATACATGAAAAATACATCTTTAAATATTTATTAATACAAAAAAAAAACATTGATTATTTTCGTTGGAATTAAATTACATAAAAAGTTTTTCATTATTAGTTATCTTATGTATTTTTTCGGATCTGTTTGTCCTTGTGCAGGTATCATAATTAAAATTTAATCTATCTGCTATTAAAAATCAAAATGCAGATGTGTTGTCACTCCTCAGAGCTAAGATGGAATGCCTCGTTTCCAGACTAAAAATGTTCTCCAATTCTCTACACTCACCATACGAAACACATTAAGCTGCAATTTTACGCTGGTATTCTGTGAGAGCGTGGTCCTTTCCCGGTCGAGTCGACCCATTCGTGCAACGCGTTATACAACGCGTTTACGACACAAGTACCCCTGCGATATTGGAGTAACTTTCGTTTATTAAAAAAGAGGTGATAGTTATAGCAGGAATGTGTTGACTCGATCGGGATATGATCACGCCCTTACAGAATACAAGCGTGATGTAACAACTTAACGCTGATGTGTTTCGTATAGTGAGTGTAAGGAAACCGGAGACCCTTTTTACTAGAAACGTGGCACTCTATTTTAGTCCTCAAGGGTGACAACGCATCTGCATTTTGATTCTTAATCGACGATAGATATAGATGCCCATGATATGCCTGACCGCAGCACTTACCATCAAGTGCAATTTGTGCTTGCATATCACCTTTATTCTATACAAATAAACAACTGCGCCAGGTGGTTTTACAATCAATTAGTTTATCATTTGATTTGATTACTTGTTTTGTTTTGTATTTCTAGAAGCGCTGTCAAATTGTTATTGGTGTCGACTGGTACCGGGGGTAATTCTAGAGGCATCCCATTAAAACAGTCGAAAATTATCTCGAGAAAATTTATTTTTTCAAATTTGTGAGTAGACAATATTTTTATAAAATTATTTTGAGGTCAATATTTATTTAAAGCGATAAATGAGGACACAGCCCACCTCAAATTGAGTGAATGCTGTGGGCCATAGACATCTACTAAGTCTCAATAAACAATCAAAATGCATGTGCGCTGTTGTCCCTGAGGACTTAGATGGAATGCCTCGTTTCCAGTTAAAAAGGTTCTCTTGTTCTCTACGCTCATCATACGAAACATATTATATTTTTATATTTGTAAGAGGGGGCAATCATACGGCTCATCTGATGGTGACTACCGCCGCCCAAGAACAGGGGAAATGCAGATACGTTGCCGGCCTTTTAAAAAAAGTTTAGGCTCTTTTCTATAAGGTCGGAGTAATTATTGGTTAAGTTGTAATACATGTAATATTATAAACTAGCCGATACCCACGACTTCGTCAGCGTTGCGTTCACACATCACTGAACACGTGGTGCTTATAAAAATCTTTATTTCTTAAAACTTTATATTAAATGAAAATATCAAGAAAATACGATATATTTTTTTTTTTAGATAAAGGCCAAGTGTCTAAGAAATAATACTTAGAAAAGCTAATTGAAATCTATCCAGTAGTTTTTCCGTGATGCGCGCACAACTGTAAACCTCTATCATTTATTTAAATACCTAGTCAGGTCATAAGTATTGTCACACAGTAAAAACTTTTCTTTTAGAATGCTGGCCACAAAAAAGTTTATTGAATTCAAATTTCGAATTGTTCATGAAAATAAAACTGTATACTTTTTAGAATTTTACTCATTTTTAAATATGGAGTGGACGCTTAAAGGAGACCGTGTTGCAGTTATTGCGTTGCATCGTTGCGGTTACGCGCCAATTCAAATTTTTGACATACTGAAAAATTTTAATATAACCAAAAGATTCGTTTATCGTAAAATCAAACGATACAATGAAGACCTAGAGTCTTCTTTGTAGATGACAGGTCAAGAAGTGGGTTAAGCAGAACCACGGTGAAAAGGGTGTTAAATGCGTCTTCCTAGTAACCGTAACTACGAGTCAATCTATGGCTGATGTTCAGCTGTGGACTTTAATAGGTTGTAACGGTATAACATTTAACTTACAGTAAATATTTTGAATTTGAATTATATGTACTCGTAAAGCGCCATCAAAATACGGAGCATAGTCCTTATAAAAAAGTAAATAAATTAAAGTAAAGTAAAGTTACAGCCTATTCACGTCCCACTGCTGGGTGACAGGCCTCCTCTCATTTCTGAGAGGGTTTTAGGGCAAGGAACTGTCAGCCGCGCTGCCCCAATGCGTGTTGGCGAATTTCACATGTCTTCGAAAATATGTTTTTTCTTTATCTCAGACATGCAGGTTTCCTCACGATGTTTTCCTTCACCGCCGAGAACGTGGTAAATCAGCACTTAAAATTGCAATTAACAATTTCATTGGTGCCGGCGGGAATCGAACCCGGGTTGCTCGCGTATTGTGAAATTTACCGCGAATGCTACCACGGCTAAATTAACTTAGGAATTAATTAATTAAATATCTATCGTACTAATATTTTATGATATCTGAATATGTAAGATGGTTGTTAATCACGCATAACGAGCTAAACAAAATTGTATTAGCACCCAGATGGACTACAGATTGATTTAACACATTGTATACTTTTGACTTGACTATATCCTAGCTGATGGTAAGTGATGACGAGGCCAAAGATGGTAAAGTGCACTGACTTAGCTTAAAAAAAGCCTATTCACTCTTGCCTTTAAGACACCCACATTATAATCGGATGGAAAGACAGATGGCGGCAAATTATTCCACTCCTTTGCTGTACCTACGCATTATGAACTATGAAGCCGTTTGGTTCGAATACGTGGTGTGGTCAACAATAAAGGGGAGACCAGTCTGGTGGTCCGATGATTGAATGTTTTTGAATTAAGTGATGCAATTCCCGCACATCTCTATATATAAAAATCAACTGCTGTCCGTTAGTCTTACAAAAACTCGAAAATGGCCCGACCAATTTTGATGATTTTTTTATAGGATTAGGGTGACACACGAGCACACAGTCCACCTGATGGTAAGTGGTTGCTGTGGACATCTACATCTATCCTCAATTGCGAATCAAATGCAGATGCGTTGTCGCCCGTGAGGACAAATTGGAATGCCTCTTTTCCAGTAAAAAGAGTCTCCGGTTCTCTACACTCACCATACGAAACGCAGCAGTGTTAAGCTGCTATTTAACGCTGGTGTTCTGTGAGAGCGTGGTCCTGCCCCGGTCGAGCCGACCCATTCGTGTTACAACTATACTACTAATATAGCTGCAGCATGGCTCTGTAGCGTTCAAAAACGTTTTGTTTGTGTTTTAGTAGATATGGTTTAGATGCACAATTGTATCCGGTAAGTGGCGCTGATGTAGAATTACAGAAATCACCTGTGCGAACACGGGGCCGATCGCTAGTTTAGAATATAGGTTATAGAGAACACATTATTCAGTATTATTGTGTCAATAGTGAATGACAAATGTGAATTTGACCCTAGTCGCATCAAAGCATTGATGATTCCAAATACGTTTTTTGAACGTTCCGGATCAAACGATTGATAGGACATACGAGCAAAGAGTATAGTACCGTCCATCGACCAACATTTTCGAGCGGGTCTCATTAATCACAGAGTACTGAAACTCGAAATGATCAATTTGAATGATCGACCCGAATGACCCGGTTTGTAAGACGAATCAATATTTGAATGATCAGATCGCTAGAAATGATTGAATGACACATGTCTGTTATTTAGCTTTTGATCTCAAAATTACTCTGCAGCTAGTAAATTGCCTGCAAATTAATGGCAGGTTTGAAAGATGACCTTATCACAAAAATTGATAAGGGCGTGCTTCGGTGGTTTGGGCACGTTGAGCGAATGAGTGAAGGCCGAATGGTGAAGAAAATATATAGCGCGAAAGTTAATATTAAAAGGTGTCGAGGTAGACCGAGACTAACTTTCGAAGACCATGTGAGCAAATTGCACGAAGAGGGTAGGGTCAAGAGTACTCGGATACTTAGACGTGCATGCATGAAGAAGATAATGAATCTGAAAGAAGCGAAAGAGGTTTGTAAGGATCGTGACACTTGGCGATCTGTTCTCTCTGGCTACCCCGTCAGGGATTGTGTGTGAAGATAAGTAAGTAAGTAAGTAGTAAATTGCCTAATTGGAGTACTACAAAGAGAACAAACAGTCCACAGAAAAGAATGCAGAAGCGAGAAATATAAACCAAAAACTATGCAAACTTTCCTAGAATCTTGATAATCCAACCTAATTAGAGTTCGTTAAAATACTAGTGTGTGCCGCCGGAAACTGGCAATAAAGCTCGCTCGACACACGCGTACCAAACAAATTTAAATCAGCTCGGAAATCAAATTATAGAAGCCAAACATGAGCGTTTTGGTTATTAATAAAGTAAAAATTTCACTGGCGAGCATGAAATGGTCGCTCACCGTGTTTGGGGCTAACAAGTGACGCAATGACACGCAAAGCGACTCCAACTAGTGTTGTACCAGTCTTATTATTAATAGAACTACAAATTAAAACCTAAATGGTTTTTATAATAAATTAAAAAAGTATTTATTTCAGACTTTAGTACATTTAATTTCACATACTGTATGTATTCCATCCTTTGCCTCGTTGGTCTTTTAACCGAAAGTGCGGCTGCTGATGATGTGGTCCCAGGTTTGAATCCAATTTCTTCTGGCCAAGGATTTCCTATCAAGAAATTAGCATAAGACGGAACTCGGAGTTAGAAACGCCAACTTTCCGACTCCAGTATATAACACCCCGACCCTTGGAAAACACGTAAATCCGATGCTCTTGCGCCTGATCTCTCTCCGATCGTGTCTGATTGCTACCCTATCGGACTATGAGAATTAGGAGTGCACCTGTGCTTATCAAATTGCCATGAAATTTACAGCGGTTACTCAGCCCTTAAGCCTCAGCAGCTTTCCTAATATGAAATGCCTCTTAATTAAATCTCGATTGAATTTGGGGCAGTATTCAAGAAACTAATTTCAATTATATTAAGTATAGGGTGTCAAAAAGGTTCTTTCTTCATCGTTCACTAATAAAAAAAACTAGATACACAATCTTAAAAAGTTCTCTAAAAACTATCGTCAATTGTTTTGACGTAATTCTAGCTGAAATAAATACATCTATTAATGTAAATTCAATCTTAAATGCTTTTACGTCAAGGGTGAAAAGGTTAGATACGGTAAGAAGTAGGTACTTAGAATATATGTAATAATATGGCCCTGTTAATAATACAAGTTTGTTTTTTTTTTTTCAATTTAGTAAAATTTTTGCTGACCAACCAACCTGCCAAGCATGGCAACTATGGCAATAATCCTTCATATAAATCATAAAAACACAACAGGTCATTAAAAGAAATGGGAATGAAAGTGAACGCAAGTAAGAGGAAAGTGATTGTTTTTTTTTTAAGAGAAGAAAGTAAAACGACACGTAAAATAAGACTAGAAGGGGAGTTGATTGAGCAAGTGGATGAGTTTGTGTATTTAGAATGTGTGTTTAGAAGAGATATTAGACTTGACAAGGATATATAACGACGTGTGAGTGCATGGCACAGTTAATGGGGCTCTGCACTCGATTGTGGGAAGTCAGAATTCGTCAAGAAGGCACATATGGCAATTCACTTCGCCCTACCTTGATGTATAGTAGTGAAAGTTAGGTGTGGCAGAAGAAACATGAGAGTAGACTAAATGCTTAGAAATGTTATCACTAATGAGTTTGTTAGGGGTGACTCTAAATGACATACATACATACATAAACACTCACGCCTGTCACCCAGAGGGGTAGGCAGAGACTATGGACTTCCATTTGGCACGATCCTGACACACCTCTCTCGCTTCCTCCACATCCATATACCTACGCATACACGCTCGTCGGTTAAAGGTACTCTTGATTTGGCCCATTTTCAATATATCGCCAATTTGGTCGATAAACTTTCGCCTAGGGCGACCCTTCCCAACTCTGCCATTCACTTCTGCAATATAAATTTGCTTTGTCACTCTTTCCTCATTCATTCTTTCTACGTGACCAAACCACCGAAGCATTCCTTTCTTAATCCTAGTCACAACGTCATCTTGCAAACCCCACTTTTCTCTTATCACACTATTTCTCACCCTGTCATTCAGATTCATCCCTAACATACTCCTTAATGACCGCATGTATGTATGTATAAATCAACCTATCGGGGAAACCTATGATTAACAATAGGTTTTTTAAATGTTGTAAATAATAAATGAAAACAATTTGATAGAATTTTCATAATAAATCAATGTAACAAAGACCGAGATAAAGTCTACAAATTACGCTAACTCGCAACTCTAGCGAGCGGGCCCTTGTCGCCCCACAGGCAATAAAAATTAAATGTAATCGCTCCATAGTTGTTTGTTTCGCGTTACTTACACTTTTGTTACGCGCAATATGAATTAGAACTTTCTCTCCGAAAGGAGACTTTGTAATCAGGGTTACCATACCGCTTTAAAATGTATAATCCATGCTTTGTATAATGGCGTCGTCAAAGAATCCAGTACAACCATATCATTACATGGATGTTGTAAGAGACCACAGGGGGATGCTGAATATTTGAAACATTGGTAGGCTACAAAAATGATGATGATGATGATAATTACGATGATGATATTAATCTTGGTTAAAATTTAAAAACGTGTGAAGCTATTTAATTTGGAAGGATATCCACACTTGAACTTGAGCCCTGTGACCCTAGTAATACTTCACGCGATTAAATTAAGGCGTAGTGTCGTAAAGAGCTGGGGAATAGTGTCTGGAAACTGCCATTACGAGTGAACTTTGGTGAAGTTTGTACGGGCACGCATCAGCGTGCCAATTCCAATGAACTGCAAAATACATTATTTGAAACGAACCACGCTGTTTGGATTATATTCCCCTTGAAATAAGAAAGACAGAATATACTATTATTTGTTTTAAAATTTAACTGTCAATAAATTTATACCAAAAAATATTTTTCATTCCCCATTCCATGCATAAAATTTTATAATGATAACATTTTATAACCTACAAATAATTGAGTGTGTCTACGTAAATAATGCCGTGCAGTGGCGGTGTAAGAATATCCTCTACTCCATATCACCCCGTGGGTGTCATAAGACGCAAAGTGGAAAACAAACCAGGAGATAGAGCAGCAGAGTCTTCCTAATCAAAACTAAAAAAATAAAAAATCTCCGATTGGCAACTCCCCTATGAAGCAATCTATGGGGAAGGCCTATGTTCAGCAGTGGACTTTTATAGGCTGTAATGGATGTATGTATAGTAAATAATCTACCAGGAGCACATGACACACTGAGAGGTGAAATTATTAAATCAACAGTAACGTTACAACTATGGCAAATATCCTCCCTAGTCCCTGTGAGGCAATATATGGGGAGGCCTATGTTCAGCAGTGGACTTTTATAGGCTGTAATGGATGTATGTATAGAAAATAATCTACCAGGAGCACATGACACACTGAGAGGTGAAATTATTAAATCAACAGTAACGTTACAACTATGGCAAATATCCTCCCTAGTCCCTGTAAGGCAATATATGAGGAGGCCTATGTTCAGCAGTGGACTTTTATAGGCTGTAATGGATGTATGTATAGAAAATAATCTACAAGGAGCACATGACACACTGAGAGGTGAAATTATTAAATCAACAGTAACGTTACAACTATGGCAAATATCCTCCCTAGTCCCTGTAAGGCAATATATGAGGAGGCCTATGTTCAGCAGTGGACTTTTATAGGCTGTAATGGTTTGTTGAATTGAAAAATTCATTACTCCTCATTTACCACTTCTTTGTAGAGCTGTAATAGGATTTAATTTCCCAATATCCACACTTTGCATACTCTGGAATGCTTGTAATTATGAAGTAGATATTCACCGTGACTCTTATAATTTTTTAGCACAAACTTTATAATTTTTTTTAATATCTTTGAGTAGAATTTTTAGTAATTATCTCTTTCTAGTTTTATAAAAGAAATGCACTAAGAATGCGGTGTGTACATATAAGTAAATGTATATTGTATATATATGTTCATGAAATATAATGATTTCTTATATTTACGCGAACACTACACATTGAATAAAACAATTTTTTTTTGTATTTTTTTTTACGGGTTTTATCGCGTTTAATTTACTATTTTAATTCCCGACGTTTCGGGTGCTTTACAGCAACCCATGGTCACGGGGGGACTGAGATGTTTGACGTCCCGATGTTACAGTTAGCCCGGCTACCTCCAGTTTTTTTTTAATATTTTTGGTTCCAAAAATATTAACCAAATAATTAATATTGATGCGTTAAAATTTACCACCAACGAGCACGCGACTTCGAACAATCCAGACCTGGCACTAAACCAACATATATAACCACATATACTATTGTGAATATGAATAATTTTGGTCTATTAATATAGAATTTGTTAATGATTTGACTGCAGCGCCATACGCGGTAGATCCCTACTGTAAGTAGGTATATTATAGTTGTAGCACAAATGGGTCGGCTCGACCGAAAAAGGACCACGCTCTCAGCCAGCGTTAAATAGCAGCTTAATGCTTCTGTGTTTCATATGATCAGTGTAGAGAAATGGAGACCCCTGTTATAGGAAACCAGGCATTCCATCTTAGTTCTGAGGGGTGATTCTTTATTGAGGATTAATGTAGATGTCTATAAACCACAGCATTCACTTACCATAGATAGACTGTGTGCTCGTTTGTCACCCCTATTCTATAAAAAAACCGGCCAAGTGCGAGTCGGACTCGCGCACCGAGGGTTGCGAACAAATCCGTAGATATAGATATAAGTTTAAAATTAATAAAAATATTTTTATTATATTATGTAACTAAAAATTTATGCTTTTCGCAATTTTTCCTTTATCTGTGCTATAATACGTTGCTTCGTTCCAAATTTTAAGATTCTGAGTTCACGGGAAGTACCCTGTAGGTTTTGATTCCCTTGCGAATGTCGAAAATTTGCGGCATAAACGGCTGTATCTTTTGATTGCGTTGGTTTAGAACTTTGATTTTTTTCACAGCTCCAAGGGACAGTAGACTTGAGTATTTGATATGAATTTCAGCTTGATACCTCCACGCTTTCATGAGAAAAAGATTCTTGACAGACAGACAGACGGACAACAGAAACAGAAACATAAACTTTTTTATTCAATATAGAATATAAATAATACTTATTGAAAGTCACTCTTTTGTTTAAATTACCACTGGTTCGGAAAAAAACGTTTTTTTTTAAATAACAGCTTACAATCATGTATGTTACACAAATTAACAACGCAACAAATTAGAAACAGCTTGGTAGCGATCACCTCATTTGCAGGGGTTATTATCATCCATAAAGTGATCCTATAAGGGTTCCGTTTTCTCCTTTTGAGGTACGGAACCCTAAAAAAGCTATCGAATCCTAGCATAGCTGTGAACCATCATCTTGACAAACAAATATTGTACTTCACAACATATTTTATTAATATTTTTTACACACACAGATTTTCCTACGATGTTTTTCTTCATCACTGAGTACGTGGTAAATCAGCACTTAAAATTGCAATTCAAAATTTAATTCGTTTCGACGGGGATGGAACCCGGGTTGCTTACGTACTGTAAAATTTACGACTTTCCAATGAATTCTCTTTGAAATCATTTAAGATATCGGGCTTAGTAGTGAACTTTAGCTATAGCAGCGATTACAATAGATGTATATGTAACTACTTCATGCCCCATAAAAATGCGCTAACATAAACCCACATAATAATATGTAATAGGAAAAAACAACCCAAATCAAATCAAACTAACAAACTTGTTACAAATATGATTTTTGTCGATAGATTGGATAAAACGTCACAATAAAATAAAATAGCGGGAGCCCGCCCGTCACAACTGTCGTCTGAAAAACATCACAACACTAACAATGGCGCTCAAACATGACAGATGTCAGATTTGCGCGCCAACCTCGCGGCGCGATTGGTCCATTTAAATATTATTCGATTGTCTCGAGTGGAGAATGCGTCGGATTGGTTGTAATTCAATTATTCAGACTCTTTTAACGTTAATCGAGTGACAAATTGACTTTTTGATGGCGTGTGTGTTATTATTTCGCGAATATTATGTTATTGTTATTATTTTTCTCGTATTACGTTGCCTAAATTAGTTTTTAATTCACTTATTTACCGTCTGCTCTCATCGTTTAAAAGTGACGTTTTGAATTATTTAATGCATAAAACTGTAGTGGTTGAACCACGTTCAAACTGGGTAACTCGACTGAGGAAGGATCGCGCTCTCACAGAATACCTTTTCTACAAAAGTAAGGATGAAAAATAAGCACACGGGTATCTGGATGTTTTGACCTAAAGACACTTACATCTATCTTTATTAAGATTCAAACGCAAATGTGTGGTTACCCCAGTTGACGAAGATGTAGTGTATATTTACCAGTAAAAAGGCTCTCCATTTCTCGTCACTCACCATACAAAACACTGCAACATTATGTTGCTATATTACACTGGGACGCGGTCGAGGTCGAAGCCAGGTCAAACCAGGAAAAACAGTGCCCAGTGGAGTGGAGTGACAACCCGGTAAAAGATGCAGGAAGTAGATGGATGCAAGTAGCTCAGGACCGTGCTTTGTAGCATTTTTATTTTCTTTTTTATAGGATAATGGTGACAAACGAGCACACAGCCCAGTAGTAAGTGGATGCTACGGTTCATAGATATCTAAACCTATTGTCGATTACCATTATCTCGACCTATTCGAGCAATAACCATAACATAGCTGCACCAAAGCATTACCACGTACATTCCTTCGGGGGAGGCCTATATTCAGCAGTGAACTTGTGAAAGGCATGATGATGCTGATGTGGTCGAAAGACTGTCTACAAAAATCTCTGACTATAAAAGTGAAATTAATTAATAACACTAGCCACAAAAGTGTTAAGCTTTCGGTCTGACGTGACTGTCAAATACTTATAAAAAGGCGGTTAAACAAAACGAGGGACTCTAATTGCTCCCTCGGGGGAGGTTCAGAAAGGGGCTATGTTGAAATTCCTAAGTAAGTACATTTTATTTATTCATAACAAAACTTAACTTAGTTTTTAGTGCCATAGTTATTATCTAAATTACTATTATATAGAAACTGAAGTGGCAAACATACTTACAGTCCACTTCATGGTGACTACTACTGAAGTTCTTTATCGGAACGTACGAATCTGGCGGATAGGGGCTAGGCGAGAAAAAGTGTAAGATTTTTCAAAGTGGAAGAATAATATCCATCTCCTTCGCACTTTTTCTTATCTTGCCATGAAAGAAATATTATTTTATTATAAATAACGCTTCATTTTAATAGAGGTTAGTAATTCATTAATTTGTATTTGTTAATTAATAATATAATACGTTCATCAATAATAATATACTACAAAAGGAACTTCGTACCAACTGTCCACGACACTCACGC